AATTTTGACCTATAAACGCCATGGGACCCTATATTTTTTCCGGGATTTTTTATAAGCGCTTGGATTAAAGTTTCAAACGATGCCAAGGAATTATCTGAAATTAAATTAGTATAGTAGTGAGAGGACAAAATGTTTGTATAGAGTTCTATGGGAAAATAATTGGTACTCTTTTCCCTATAGAGACCCAAATTTTTAAAATGTTAAATGAATTTAAAGTCATGAAAAGTGATTTTTTGCTCTTAATCCGAATATTGATGACACACTGAGAGGTAAATAGCAAAAAAAAAAATGGAATTGTTTTTCATGTGTTGAGATTTTGGAGGAATTCTGTTCTCGGTAAAGGGGGGGGGGTAGTGAGTAGAATGTAGATATTAGTATAGCGTGGTGCATTTGATATTGTCCGAGGAGGGGAGTAAGTTAATAAAGTGCATCAGATTGCTCTTATTATGAATATTTATGTGTAAGTAAGTTTGTATTTATAAATATATGCATGTACATTAATATTATATGTATTTACATGTGTGTATTTATGTGTTGTGTTCTATATATATGTACATGTATGGCATTGTAGGGGCTGTGACCTGGTGTTCATTTCATTTCATTTCTTTAACGGTTGCATACGGTATCTTTTCAAATAGTTCTAGTGAACCTAAAAAGGGCATTCTATAGTGGTCATGTCAAAGTTGCACACTTTTCTCTCTTGACATATGGCTGGTAGTGCGTGTGATTCTCTGGATTGCTTTACTTGGACTGCAGGGTACTGAATTTGTAGTGAAGTTGTTTCGTTGGTGTAGCTACACTTAGGTCTGTATTTTTCCTTTCTTGCTGCTTGTTTTTTCATCAGCGTAGCCCTCGGCAACTCATTTTTTACTACTTTCCAGTTTTTGTAATTAGAGTTACTTCCCTTAGACTTACAAACCAGGCATGTAGAATTTCAACATCATAAAATCTTTATTGTAGAGAACCTAGACTTCTGATTTTTTCCAGGAATTATTGGAATGACTTAAAAATGCATGTATAAGATTAGGCCTTTGTTAAATAAATGCATAAGATGTGATTTGACTAATTTTTCTGATTTATTTTGTTTTTAGCACTATAGAGGACTTTCATCTTTCAGCTTCCTCGGCCCCGGGAGAGTTGGGTACCTGCTCAGCGAGGGCATTTTCTCTATACAAGAAGAAGACGGAGACTCGCTACCCACCCGATATATTTTGTCGGACAGTTTTCTGTACATAGCAGGTAAATTTTCCACTTTTTAACCTTCCAGCCTCTTATTATGTTGTGCATTTTGGGGTTTAAAGTCAAAATTTTTGCATTTCTTATTTTTGAAAAATTGATCTAAATTCCCCTTTTCTATGCAAAAAACTCCATCCTGTAGATTAAGATTGTACTGTATAAGACTGTAGATACTGAACTTTCATTTATTATCAAAAGGATTGATTTTCTCTCATTTAAATTTATTGAAAACAAATACAATAGGGGGCACCTGCTATTTCTCTAAGTGTCTTTCACTGGGGGGTGGTGATACTTTTTTGCACATACTTAAGCAACATGAGGGGTTAGATAAGAATCAATTTGTATATCAGAGTCTCAAATAATTTACTTTTCATAAGCATAAAAAAAATTCTGAATTAGTCTTTTTAAAGCCTTTCAATTTTGCTTAATTAGCTATATTTTATCAAATTTTGGAGCCTTTTTAAAATTCTGGGTAGAATCCACCCTTATGAAAAAAATGACACAAATGTGACTTTATATCATTTTATTGACAATAAAAAACAAAATCATGCAATTTATAAATGTTTTATTCATTACAGTCACAACTGTATCCAGGTCACATCAAAGGAATGACAGTTTCTCACTCCCTGGAATTCTACTGAATGGAGGGAGGTGTCATTAATTAAGATTGTCACAGCTTCCAAGACACTGAAGTGACAGGCCTAAAATTTTATACATATTCATTGGTAAGTATAAAGTCTTTGAAAATTACAAAATTGACTAATTCTGGGAGAGGTAAATATGTAAGTATAGGAATGAGAGTACCAAATCCCCGGATGAGCACATGGCGTTGTTTGTGGCACAATGTAGAGTCGAGTACTGAATAGGTTGGCATTACCTGATTGGCTGAAATGAGGTATGTAATGTTTTTCATTTCAAAGTAAAAATATTAATATTTGAAATAAATGGTGGAATATAGAAATATTACAGAGAATATAGAAATACCAGGGGAGATTGTAAGAGTGGGGGTTGATTTTTTTTGCAGAGCGTTATTTACTGCCGATACCTATAAGTTTTAAAGAACTGCAATTTTGACCTATAAACGCCATGGGACCCTATATTTTTTCCGGGATTTTTTATAAGCGCTTGGATTAAAGTTTCAAACGATGCCAAGGAATTATCTGAAATTAAATTAGTATAGTAGTGAGAGGACAAAATGTTTGTATAGAGTTCTATGGGAAAATAATTGGTACTCTTTTCCCTATAGAGACCCAAATTTTTAAAATGTTAAATGAATTTAAAGTCATGAAAAGTGATTTTTTGCTCTTAATCCGAATATTGATGACACACTGAGAGGTAAATAGCAAAAAAAAAAATGGAATTGTTTTTCATGTGTTGAGATTTTGGAGGAATTCTGTTCTCGGTAAAGGGGGGGGGGGGTAGTGAGTAGAATGTAGATATTAGTATAGCGTGGTGCATTTGATATTGTCCGAGGAGGGGAGTAAGTTAATAAAGTGCATCAGATTGCTCTTATTATGAATATTTATGTGTAAGTAAGTTTGTATTTATAAATATATGCATGTACATTAATATTATATGTATTTACATGTGTGTATTTATGTGTTGTGTTCTATATATATGTACATGTATGGCATTGTAGGGGCTGTGACCTGGTGTTCATTTCATTTCATTTCTTTAACGGTTGCATACGGTATCTTTTCAAATAGTTCTAGTGAACCTAAAAAGGGCATTCTATAGTGGTCATGTCAAAGTTGCACACTTTTCTCTCTTGACATATGGCTGGTAGTGCGTGTGATTCTCTGGATTGCTTTACTTGGACTGCAGGGTACTGAATTTGTAGTGAAGTTGTTTCGTTGGTGTAGCTACACTTAGGTCTGTATTTTTCCTTTCTTGCTGCTTGTTTTTTCATCAGCGTAGCCCTCGGCAACTCATTTTTTACTACTTTCCAGTTTTTGTAATTAGAGTTACTTCCCTTAGACTTACAAACCAGGCATGTAGAATTTCAACATCATAAAATCTTTATTGTAGAGAACCTAGACTTCTGATTTTTTCCAGGAATTATTGGAATGACTTAAAAATGCATGTATAAGATTAGGCCTTTGTTAAATAAATGCATAAGATGTGATTTGACTAATTTTTCTGATTTATTTTGTTTTTAGCACTATAGAGGACTTTCATCTTTCAGCTTCCTCGGCCCCGGGAGAGTTGGGTACCTGCTCAGCGAGGGCATTTTCTCTATACAAGAAGAAGACGGAGACTCGCTACCCACCCGATATATTTTGTCGGACAGTTTTCTGTACATAGCAGGTAAATTTTCCACTTTTTAACCTTCCAGCCTCTTATTATGTTGTGCATTTTGGGGTTTAAAGTCAAAATTTTTGCATTTCTTATTTTTGAAAAATTGATCTAAATTCCCCTTTTCTATGCAAAAAACTCCATCCTGTAGATTAAGATTGTACTGTATAAGACTGTAGATACTGAACTTTCATTTATTATCAAAAGGATTGATTTTCTCTCATTTAAATTTATTGAAAACAAATACAATAGGGGGCACCTGCTATTTCTCTAAGTGTCTTTCACTGGGGGGTGGTGATACTTTTTTGCACATACTTAAGCAACATGAGGGGTTAGATAAGAATCAATTTGTATATCAGAGTCTCAAATAATTTACTTTTCATAAGCATAAAAAAAATTCTGAATTAGTCTTTTTAAAGCCTTTCAATTTTGCTTAATTAGCTATATTTTATCAAATTTTGGAGCCTTTTTAAAATTCTGGGTAGAATCCACCCTTATGAAAAAAATGACACAAATGTGACTTTATATCATTTTATTGACAATAAAAAACAAAATCATGCAATTTATAAATGTTTTATTCATTACAGTCACAACTGTATCCAGGTCACATCAAAGGAATGACAGTTTCTCACTCCCTGGAATTCTACTGAATGGAGGGAGGTGTCATTAATTAAGATTGTCACAGCTTCCAAGACACTGAAGTGACAGGCCTAAAATTTTATACATATTCATTGGTAAGTATAAAGTCTTTGAAAATTACAAAATTGACTAATTCTGGGAGAGGTAAATATGTAAGTATAGGAATGAGAGTACCAAATCCCCGGTTGAGCACATGGCGTTGTTTGTGGCACAATGTAGAGTCGAGTACTGAATAGGTTGGCATTACCTGATTGGCTGAAATGAGGTATGTAATGTTTTTCATTTCAAAGTAAAAATATTAATATTTGAAATAAATGGTGGAATATAGAAATATTACAGAGAATATAGAAATACCAGGGGAGATTGTAAGAGTGGGGGTTGATTTTTTTTGCAGAGCGTTATTTACTGCCGATACCTATAAGTTTTAAAGAACTGCAATTTTGACCTATAAACGCCATGGGACCCTATATTTTTTCCGGGATTTTTTATAAGCGCTTGGATTAAAGTTTCAAACGATGCCAAGGAATTATCTGAAATTAAATTAGTATAGTAGTGAGAGGACAAAATGTTTGTATAGAGTTCTATGGGAAAATAATTGGTACTCTTTTCTCTATAAGTTGCCGTGCGTCTCTGCGGAGTTAGAACAATTTGAATAAAAAATATTTAACATTCATGTAATAGAATATTAAGAAAGAGTGTCTAAATGTAAAATAAAAACGCATAATAATCATAAAATTAAAATTTTATGAATAATGGGTTAAATGTTTCATCCAATCCTGATTGACAAACTCCGACGTAACTGAAGTGCGGAGAAATAAGCACACATGTTGGGCATAGTCTAAAGCAAGGACCGCGTTATATACATGTCAAAACAAACTTTTACTTTCTCTACTTCAACAGGATTTGTTGTATATATAATTTAAACTGACGTGTAAATATAAATATACATTGTACTTTTAATACGGAAATTTTTCAAAAATATGACTTAATCTTAATTTATTATCAGACAGAATATTAGGAGATTTTTCTCCAACAGACAAGGATAAAGCGCGTTTTACAACATGCCAAACCTTTTCCGTCCACCTGTCACACCAAAACAAGATAGAGAAGAAATGTAGTGGCGGATCTGGAGGGAGTTGGGGGTTTCAACATCCTCTGAGCGAGCGAGGAGCCCCGCATTGAAAACTTGTTACGTTTTATTTAATGTTAAACTATCTCTAGTTAGATAAGTTTAAACGTTAGTTTTAATGGTTAAGTGTTAAAACTACTTAAACATCAAACTTCCGCGAGAGTTCGTTTATAAACTTACTGAGTGCGGGGACACAGAGGGAGGGCTATGAGTAAGTTGCTTAAATACATTTTATTTGTAGCAATGTACATGTATTATGTACTGAAGAAAATCCTGGGATGTCGCATTCAAATGTTTAATGTCACAGGGATATATATTAATTAACAGATAAATAGAAGAATTCAGTTTCTAATTTATTGTATGAAAGAATTAATTGGTTTGCGGCCGATTTTTGACGCTTGCGTCAATATGTTTCTTGTTGGATATTATACACTTATCCACTGGTTGTGAGTGGGATAGCTCTTTTATCAAACCCTTGACAGAGAACTATTCCCCTCGGGCAAGCCCTCGGGGAATAGTTCTCTGTCGCGGGTTTGATAAAAGAGCTATCCCACTCACAACCAGTGGATAAGCGTTTTATTATACTGATGCATAATATAATTTCTGAAGTTTGAATTTTTTGGAGTAAGATAATTCTGCAAGAATAATCTGAAATCTTGATGACGTCACAATGCTACTGAAGTAATTATGACATCATCAGTTTAAAGATTTATCGCTGGAAATCAAAATTGGCGGCAACAATTGCATGAAAATTTTTCGAGGGTGGATAGCAAAAACTATACCCCGGGGTATAGCTTTGCTATGCGTGGACTATAAAGGATAGTTATTCTACCTTCTGAACTTTATATAGGAAACATTATAACAGAAGCATGATAATTTTTTTGATATCCCACAGAACTTGCAGTTGTGACGTCACAATGGTTTTAGCGGTAGCATGATGAAGTTGAGAAAGTGCAGTCCTTAAAACAGTGCAAAACATTGGTTGTGAAGAATTAAATGAAGGATATGGAGATAACGAACAAAATTCAACATCAAAGTCCATAAAACAATATAAAATAGGAGCAGACCAAACACGGACCTCCGAAACATCAGAGGTGGGATCAGGTGCCATGAAGGAGTGAGCTAAATAAATATGAGATAAAAGAATCTCCCTTTATTTGTAGTTGGATTTGACTTATTTAACTCGTTATGTGTTTTTATTTCCTCTCCAAGTCTCTGGAGTAAAATAAAAAAACAACTCCTTGGATACAAATCATATCCAACTACAAATCATGGGAGATCCTATATATATCAAATAAAGACTATGTCAACTTTCAATCATCTTTAATTTAAATAAAGATTACTGAGTGATCTATTAGGAAAATAAGAAATGAACTTGTATTTCTAGTGATAATGTAGAAATAGATAATTTTGCAGTTCAAAATACAACATTTCGTAATAGAGAAGTCAGTATAAATCGGAGGTGGTATAATAATTGAAATGATATTTTATTTTTCACTTCATATATTGGATTTTCTTAACATGCCCGGTATAATTTTCTGCAACAAACAAATCGTCTCTTTTATCGACATATAAACCATATGGGGACTTTAAATCGCAGTTTTTTATGCAACAGAGGAACAGGCCATCCTTATTAAGAATGTGGATACAGTTGTTTTCTCTGTCTGTGGTAAGGATCTGACCGAGACTGTCTGTTGCTATCCCATAAGGTACGAATGATTTGTTGTTCTTTGTAGTAGATGGATGACCGGTGTATCTAAATCGGACTTTTCCGCTGTGGTTAACTATAACTAAGGCACTGACATCCTTGTCAGCCACACATATATCCAGGTTTCTGTTCTCACTGATGTACTTTGTTTCATGCTTTCCTGAATACAAAGGTTCACCTTTATCATCAAACTGGATTGTTTGTGTCTCTTTAAGACCTGAGAAACGAACAACTTTGGACTTATTTTTATCGTCACTGCACATAGTAACCAGGAGATGCCCAGAAGACGTGACACAGAGATTAATAGGTGTCCAGCCCTGAAGTTTGATCACCTCCTCTGTCTGTCCATTCCTTACTTTATACACAGTTCCATTACTCCAGTCTGAGTACAAGAGATCGCCGTCATCTGTCACTGCTATATCATTCGGCATTCTCCCAGATTTTGTTTGAATTGTCTTCATTAGTGAGCCATGAATGTTGTAACATTTCAAATCACTAACCTTGAGTGTCCTTGTCCAGATTTCTGCACCGAAACAGGTAACACCGAGAAGGTTGTCGTACCTAGTATTTATAGTAGTGTAAAGTTTCGGTTCTTTCAACAGCTCCTTGGTAGATGTCTTTAATGTGTAGCTATTTTTCTTTTTGCTTTTGGATAACGGTGTCAGGGATCCAAACAACTTGCTGAAATGATCTATTTCTTTTGTTTTTGAATTGAACGTTGGTAGTGATACATGAACTCTCGGAAGAAGATTGCTGAATTCTTCGGTTTGGGAGATATAATCCATGGCCAGAGACACTTCATTTGATTCTTTAATTCTATTCAGGTTAAGCAATGTTTTGTCAATCCGACTTTGTATACGTTTGATTTCATTTAAATGTTTTTGCAAAATGCTCATATGTTGGGATTTTTGTTCTTCAATTTCTGCCTTCATTTGATCAACAATGGTATTGATTACTCTATGGCAGTCTTCCCCTTATTCAGTCACTGCTGTTGTTAGTTTCTCATATTCTCCATCCAGTTTAGATATCTGAGTTTCTAACTCTGTAGCTATTTCTTCACATGTTGGAAAAAAAATGTTTTCGATTTCTTCAGTGTCTTTGTTTATGACTTCTAGTTTTACATTATAGATATCTGAGAGAAGTAAAATGGTATGGCCCTTGTGTGTATCAGATATTATACAACACAAGGAACATACAGAAATATCGCATTCTTTGCAATAAAATTTACAGTTTTTTGTTTGATGTATTGTGCAATTAGGATAAATCAAGGTTGAGTTTCTTTGTTGAAATGGGACCACTTTATGTTTGTCGTAATCATCAGAAACATGTTTTCCAATACAAGAAATGCACAGGTTGACTTGACATAAATCACAAAAAATCTGCGCTATAGCGTCCTCGCAAAGGCCACATCGGTTGGTAATGTAGGTAGGATCCATGGCGAATCTAAGTTTTAATAAAAACAGTTATATGGAGGAACAAAATTTGAAATAACTGAATTTAAATCGGTCAATAAAGAAATGTTTTGCTGCTGTACAGATATTGATTAACCATTGTTTCAGAGGAAAATAAATGTTTTATTCTCGAAAATAAAAATGAGTAACATTTCACTCTTAATATAAAAGATAAGTTATATGTTCAATATCATATTTATATCATGGCGTATATAGAACTTAAAAAAAAAATAATTTGGTCAGAGATATGTCAAAGGACACACCCTCCTTCGTCTATTTAGTTATCTAAAAATAAATTTATACTTCTGTGCAATTTTATGCCAATCAAGCTACTTACCTGTATATTTAAATCATTTTAACATATAACGCCGATGCATAAAACGGTGTTTTCTTTTTTCTGAAATTGGAATCCACAAATAACGGCCCGTGTTATCTTCAAAGCGGCCTTGGGATAAATGGCTAGGTACTTTGTAAGGTCTGGTGTAATGTAGAATTATCTTTCTTGAATTATTTTCCTATGTTGTATTCCTTAACGACAGGAAAACCTCGAAAACAAATATATGTTGCACGTTTCAGTGAATGTGCTAGAATTTTTTTTCTAACTCTCATTGAAATATTAACAGTAGTTATGATAAACTTTAATGGCACTGTACAACAATATTTTCAAGAGGAGATATAATTCAGATGTGGATTCTAATAAATTTATTTACATGTAATTCTAAATCTCAAATTTTACTTTAATCAATCGTATTTAAAGAAGCACTCCTCATGATAATTTATACTCAGATATTTATGACATCATAGACAAATTCATTTTGAGATGAAAATGGAAATCGTAAACTAATCTACCATATTATTGAATATTTTATCAGATAAGCTTACATCTGAAGT